TCATTTAAGTTGAAACACAAAAACAAATAATCACCTAGCTTGTAAAAATGATGAGTAAGTCTTTATACTATCAATGTATATAATTTAAGAAAATTTTTTTTACTCGCGCTAATTATCTCAACTTAAACATAGTGTTATTGGGCCCATGCTCAGCATGGGCTATCCTTACTAGTATATATATATATATAAGGCCAGGGCTATGGCATTTGGGCTCTTCGCAGTCGGGTCAGGAAACAACTTTAGCAGGCCCAAACCATGTACCGGATTGGTGGCCCGTGTTTCTTGTTCAACCGACAGCTTTATAAATTACATCTTCTGTTCAAATGGCGAGCACGACACCGATGTCTGACCACACTTACACATTCGCACCGATAGCGCGTGCATTACTACTTTTATCATCCAGTGATCGTCAAGCAACTGAGACTGACCACACACGTCACATAAAGCGCGTGATTTAATCATTCAATTCATACAGGCTCCACCTTAAAATTTGAAATAATATCTAATGTCAGAAATGTAATTTAAAGTTACATAAAGTGTTGCCAGCTTAAAGTATTAGGTGTAAAGTAAAGTTTCAAAATACCTGGTACTGGTACTAGCTTCTCACTTTCTTGCTTTGCAGCTTTATGTTTTAGCTATGGATCCCAAAATCTAGGGTTATTGTGACTGAAGAATATTTTGGTTGATCAAATTTCAGGTTAGCTCTACATATTTTTAGCTAAATAAATTTATTTGATGACCTACTTGGCTAGTTCTATGTTAGTTTAAACTAAGCAGCATATTGCTGCATTTCCAATTTGATCATCTTATCTCTGATTCATTGGGTTAATATTGCTTAATTTGTCTACCTGACCGTGTTTGGGCTTGATTTCATTACACTTAGTAGTGTTTCTTATTTGGATTTCAACTATTTTCTGTATTGGTTACTGAAAACTTTGGTAAAGTTATTTTCAGTTTTCTCCTAAGAAAGCTGTTTTTGACTCAATTACCATCGAGTTTTAAGTTTTCTTTGTTATGATTATTGTTCCCAACTTCCTAATCAGCACCCCATATTGACACTTTGAAGCTGACATTGTTGTCACTATTAGAATGAATTCAAGTAATACTTGTTCAGTAAAAGCTACTACTAGTATCTTATACTATGCAGTGCTTGGTTTTAACTCCTTTTGCTATGATATCCAGAATATAGCCTGAAATTTTATGACGGACACACTTATTAGTGCTTTTCATCTGATTTCTGGTTCCGCTAAAATGTATGTTATGCAGATTCTCGAGCTATATAATTTACTAATCAAACTGTAAAATGGAGAGTATGCACAGCTATTGGCAATTTGGGGATGAGCTTCGAGGCCAATCAAAAGTGCTAGAAGATCATAAATGGACAACGGCTGCAATAAAATTGGCTGAGCAGATAAAGTCCAAGGGTGAGCGGAGGAATAACCTTGACCTTTCGAAGGGATCAACTGAAATGAGGCCCAGGGATTATCTCAGTCTTCAAGAGTATAACAAGTGTGAAAGCCTTAACTTTAACATGTTAACTTTGGATATCATGATGACTGAAAATATGACTAAGAGTTCCGTTAGGAATGGCGTTTATAACATTAATTCGGTTTATCCGAAACATAATGTCAACGGCTTGGGAAATATATCTTTTAGCAAGTTCAACAACAACCACATGAATGAACAATGCAACATCAACAATAGTGAGAGTATCAATGGGAATAATGCTGTTGAAAAAAGGTTTAAGACTTTGCCTGCTGCTGAGACACTGCCCAGGAATGAGGTTCTTGGAGGGTATATATTTGTTTGCAACAATGACACGATGCAGGAAGACTTGAAGCGCCAGCTGTTTGGTATTTTTCCTATCTAGCTTTTAGTCATCTTTCAACTAAGTAGACTTGCTTGTTTGACATAAAAAGTGTGGAATTTATGTATTGTATACATACATTAGGTTATAAACATATTAGGTGCATGTTGAAGCTAATCTGTTTGGTCAACAGCGTGACTGAAATAGTGAAGTAACACCACATTTAAGAGAGTGAATGTTCTTTTCTTGGTTGACTAGTTAAACCACCTTTAGCAAGATAGTTGACCAGTGTAATCACCAGTAGGATTGGAGGTTATGTTTATGCCCTCCCTACTTTGTACTTTTTGTTGATAATATTAACATACGAGGTAGGGGTCAACACCAAACTCCCCCACACCACAGCAAGTGAAAGCTTGAGTGGATGGATTTAACTAAGAAAGAAGTCCTTTTCTTGACATGTCAGTTTTTATGCATTTTGGCTGCTTCAACATTTCACTGTTTGTGGCTGATGAGAGTTTGAATCACTTGTGAGAGAGGGAAAAAATGGTGAGATCCGAATTTTATAGAACCTAACCTTGTAGAATTCAATTTGTGCCAATAGAGCAAACTACAGAGAATGTTGAAGCCATTGATAAATATGGTGCTGCAATTATATTCATTTTTATCACATCTCAATTCCAATCGTTCTTTTTCAGGTCTACCTCCAAGGTATAGAGATTCCGTGCGGGCAATAACACCAGGGTTACCCTTGTTCCTCTACAATTACACTACTCACCAGTTGTATGGCACCTTTGAGGTTTGTCCAACAACACTGTTTTTGCCAGTGTTCTGAAACATGATAACATCTGCTTGTTCACATCTTTATAAATAAAGGGTGGTTAACACCCATAGAATTTTGCTAGAAAAAAGCATCCTCGGACATGCATATGGCTGCTGTGCACATTATATGAATTTTCTTCATAGAGCAGAGAAAAACTATTCTTTTGTAGTTCTTTTTTCTTTTAATTGTAGTGTTAGGACTTTGTTATCTCCAAAGGTTAGGGTTTGAAGCATTGCCATGCAGTTATACTGGTGAGGGCCTCATACTACTACTTTTGCATTGAGTATTAACTCACTGGCCTCGTACTTGTCAAAATTAGTTCCAAGTACCATAAATTGTTGAAGATGAGCACTACTAGCTTCCTTTTACAAGATATCTTCTCTAAAGGGCTCATTTTTCTGCCATAGTTGTTTTATGCAGTAAACAAAGATGTCAGAACAAGTATCAATCATTCAAATTTGAGTATTCGTTCATGCGTCATCGGCAGCACAATGAATCTCCACTATAACAATCTCTGTACCTGTTTTTCTTGACAGGCAGCAAGTTTTGGAGGTTCCAACATTGATCCAACTGCTTGGGAAGATAAAAAGTGTAAAGGAGAGTCAAGGTTCCCTGCTCAGGTAAAGTAATGAGTTACAACTCATTTTCCTCTAGGTTCGTGAAGGATTTATTTTAATTTTGAGTTTTCTGTACTTCACATTTAGGTCAGGATCCGTGTTAGGAAACTAGGTAAGCCTTTGGAGGAGGATGCTTTTAGACCAGTTTTGTATCATTATGATGGTCCCAAATTCCGTCTTGAGCTCTCTGTGCCCGAGGTAAGATGAGAACCTATTTCGTAGTTTTGAGTCCTTATGCAAGTACTATGGCAAGAGTAGAGAGTCACGACGCCTAACACCTGATTTGTTTTGCAGACTTTGGACTTGCTGGATCTCTGTGAAAAATCTGGTGTCTAAGCGCCAGCATTCATGGACTAATTAGCATAAATAAACTCTGGTAGTCTATGATGTTGTTTTGTTTCACTATCTCTGGAATGTGTTTTCCGCCGATTCCCAAAGCGCAAGCTTTGATCTGGCTGAGAGAGGTTCTGAATAGTAGGGTTGGCTAATTTGACCAATTAAGTGTGATTTTCTCTGGAGATGCTTGAATAGAAGCTTCCCAAATTTAGTCTTGTAATCTTACAATGAACTTGAGAAGTAATGATGCCCATGTAATGGGTCAAGATTGAATGTCTTTTCGTATCTGCACTGCTAATCTGCTTCAACCAATTTATGAAATTAGACATTCAAGCCGTTATTTCTTGACTTTTTGCGGGGTGCACTGGGCTTGTCAACCAAATTCTTAGGTTACAAGAGTATTGAATTTGATGGTGAAACCGTGTCAGCAAACAATATCCTTATTTTAGAACTATCTTGCAATTATAGGCCACAACTGGAGTGTGATCATAGCAGAGACATCACTCTGTTTATCGTAGAAACACAGATAGAGTAATTAAAGCCATATATAACTCATTTATCAAAGAAAAGAAACGATAGATCAAGTTGACTAGGGACTGGGCCGCAGATGATGCACAAAATCATTTTAATTTAAAAATAATATGAAACATTATTTCCTTATTAATCCCTTCCAAAAAGAATGATTCTTCATTTTTAACCTTACATTTCTCATGCTTCAGCGCTTTAAGGTTGCAGAGGTCAGATGCAAACATAGGCAAACTAAAATGGAGAACCCAAATATTTATGCGTGTAAGAATTAAAACAAAGCAGAGAAAACACACATCCAACTGGCTCTTACCAACCCCCAGTATACAATAATAAAAAGGTGAAATAAAGATGGGGGGATTGTGATGCGCAGGTAATGCAATACAAACTACTCTTAAAGACCAGCAACAGTCAGAAAACAGAGAATTTTGACACTAAAAGGTGAGGGGCGATGCAGTGGTTGAACTCTGAATCTGGCCCCTCAACGAAGAGTACCACCAAATACCAATTTATTCAGTTCAATGGAACTTGGGACAATCAAACTGCCAGCGACACATCTTCTCATATGGCTCCTAGTTCCTCCATCGTTGTCATAATCTAGACCAGGGGCGCCCCCAAGATGAATGAGTCAAAACATAACACCACATTTTCACCTTTACTGATACCTTCTTCATGCATATGAAGCTGTTAAATCAAAGAGTGGCTGAAACAAGAAATGTACGAATTCTCTGTAGCAGCTCAGCTTTGATGGAATCAGGAATTGAAGCTGCAATTCAATAAGCAGCAGAAAACATTTAACAGAGGTAACACCAATGCGTATATTCTATCAAATGCAGGCAATGCAAGAGCAATATTTAAAACATTCCAACAATCATGAAGCTGGAAAACTGACTAAGAGACGGATCAGAAAATCTAATCTCCCAATGGCGTATGTTTAAAGGAACCAAAGGCACTCGAGGAAATGTGTCAACTTCAATGCTCTTTTATTGCTTAAAAGGATACAAAATTAAGCAGAAAGAATACATTTTAAGCATACAACAGCCATTCCGCCTTCAGGTGTGCGAGTGTCAAGAAAAAGTGAAAGAGAAGACAGAATCCTTACCTCTGCCTTTCGGGGTAATCACATGTACAAGGTCGTCGACGGTTACATTGTTCCGTCCTTTCTTCTTTACATATTCCCTAAAGTAAAGTATTGATGAGAGAATGAACGTCACAAACGTTACGCGTCAAATTGAGAATCGATTGCTGTATATGCACAACACGCGGCCAGCATAGCAAAGATCATAAAAGATAAAGAAATAAGCTGATAACTTGGAATAGTTATTCCTGAGTACCCTCGGAGCTAGTAACAATTTTAAGTGCACATTAAAAGCGGAAAGTTCGAGAGAAATAGTTGCCATAACCCTCACCACTTTAACAAGTCTTGCTCTTGAAGACCCCTACCCAAACCTTGTTATAATCAAGGCTTAATATTGAACAGAGTGATGAAAGAAAATGCAGGGAAAACTTGTAGATTAATGGTAACTAGAAAAAGACATTTTTTGGTTCATATCAATCGTTTAGTTTCTCTGTACCTCCAAATGCTACAGATAGCTCCCTTCTCTTAAGTCGTCTAAACAACCTTTTCATTATCACTGATCTACTTTTCCTTCGTATTATACTCAAGTTCTGCCACATTACGTTTCCTAAGTTGGCTGTAATTACCAATCAACCACCTCAAAACTGATGGTTCACATAAAATTTAAAACAAAAGTATTACCAAATAATTATGTTTTGGCCACAAAATACCACATAATTTAAGAAAAACATATCTTAAAGTAGTTAATTTGGAAAAAAAAGAGTATGACGACCTCACCTACCAATTAAGCAAGTCTAGCCTCGCTGCTATCCTATTTTGCCTGTTCTCTTCATGCTCGTTCCCGTCCACCCTATCCCCACCATTCCTCCCCTTCCCACTCATATCCCCAGACC